CACAGAAGCCAGCTGGCTGGCTCGTTTTGGGCAGTTGGTGTAGCCCAAGAGAGCTCGGCCAAATTCCCCACCTGTGGGCGTGCCCTTAGGTGCTCTCCCGGGTAATCAGCAATGTCCCAGTAAACACAGATAAGATCCTACCGGCCTTTCTCCTGCCAGGTTAGTTCCTCAACAGCTGCCTGATAGCTCAGGGTGATGTCTGGATCCAAGGTGGTGCCCTGAGGTCACAGGGCTGTGGTGGGGGTTGTGGAGCTGCAAGGTGGGTGGGGGAAGGGGAGGAAAGCAAGGGAATAGGGGACAAGGAGCGCAGGGGTTGGACACTATCACCAAGAGGTGGGGACGGGGCTTGTGCGCTGCTGGGGGTTTATGCAGCAGCACCCTGTGTGCTAAGGGCCACACAGGCACAGGTGTGGGCTGCTGGGGGGTCCCACAGTGTCCGGCAGTCTTCGCTCTTTTGGGGTCTCACAGTCTTCGCTCCTCTGGAGTTCCGCGGCAGGTGGCTGGCTACTGCTCTTCCCGGGTCTCTTCAGGGTCCCTCTCGTGGCGTTCCCTGATCTGGCGGCGGCGTTCCCCCCAGCTGGCAGTGGGGTGCGTTCCCCCGGCGTTCCCCGGTCTGGCGGCGACGTTCCCCCTCCAGCAGATTTTTGGAAGCTATCAATCACATGGAAGGAGACTATTCTTTCTCTCTTGGAGGTGCTGGTGGATTTGAACCACCAGAGAGGCCCTGCCTTTGAGTTGCAGCACTGCTGCCTTTGGACAACACCTACGGAACTCCCTAAGCATTCAATGTGAAGTCTAATCTTCCCTTCCCACAACTTCTCCATGATGTCCCAAGAGAACATGTTCACATGGTATCTTCAGACTGTATGATTTAGTTCAGAATTAACTTTTGCTTTCACACGTACCTCATCCCACATGACTGGTTTCTTCGCTTTGTTTCACACTAGACATGCAGCTGTAGTCTTGCATTCTTTCCTATGATATTCTTCACTGATGGGAGACAAAAACGGTTTATAAAAGAGGTTTCATAAAGTGCGTTTATAGCCAGGAATTTCTCACTGGCCACTTTTTTCTACTAGTACAAAGTTTCTCTCTCTAACTCCCCTCACTTAAATGACCTTTTATTCCTTAGCATTTGTGTACCTCTGTTTCATTGTCTTCTTCCAATAAAGTCCCCTACTATCTCACTTTCTCCCGTCAAGCAGTATATTCAGTCATCTTTCTCAGCACATTCCTTCCCAAGAGAGGAATAATTTTTTTTTCATACTGGCAAAGATCGATATTTGTTCCCATTCCAAAGAAAGGTGACCCAACGGAGTGTGGAAATTATCAAACAATATCATTAATAGCACATACAAGCAAGATTCTGCTGAAAATAATCCAAAAAAGAGTGCATCAATCTGTTAACAGAGAACTGCCAGATATGCAGGCTGGATTTAGAAGAGGTCATGGTACTAGGGATATTATAGGTAACGTTAGATGGGTCTTGTCAGAAAGCAGAGAATACCAGAGGAATGTCTATCTGTGCTTCATTGACTATGCAAAGGCTTTTGACGGTATGGATCAAAACAAGCTGTGAATGACTCTAAGAGTGAGAATCCCAGAACATTTGATTGTGATAATGCAAAACATACACTTGGAACAAGAGGCAGTTATCAGAACAGAGCAAGCACATGTTCAAAATCAAGAAGGGGGTCCGCCGGGGATGTATTCTGTCCCCACACCTTTTCAATCTATATGCAGAACAGATCATCCAGGATGCTGGGCTGTACGAGAAGGAAAGTGGCATCAGGATTGGTAGAAGAGTCATCAACAACCTTCGTTATGATGACACAACCTTGCTTGCTGAAACTGAGGAGGACCTGAAGCACTTGCTGCAGAAGGTCAAGGACTGCAGCCTTCAATATAAATTGAAGCTCAACATCAAGAAAACAAAGATTCTCACCAATGGACCAATTAATTGGCAGAATCAGTATCAATGGTGAAGAGATTGAGATAGTTAACAGTTTTAGTTTGCTTGGCTGCACGGTCAAAACTCTTGGTACCAGAAGCCAGAAAATCAAGAGATGAATTGCATTGGGAAAGTCAGCTGTCAGTGTCCTTGGTAAGTATTTTCCAATGAATTCAGGTTACTGTGTTCCGGTCTGAGTAATACTCTTTCATTAGACAAGAGTCCAAACAGGTGACCATCAACGTTCGGGACTGAAAAGCTTTCTCTCTGGTGTTCAGGGAAGTTAATCCACAGTTGTTCACCTCGTTCCAACCTGCGGAGTGCATCAGATTTCTTAGGTTGATACCTGATGGACACCAGGTTTCTGTAGTTCTCCAACATCACATCCTGGTACAGAGCCTTCTGAGCAGGGTCCAGAAGCTTCCATTCTTTCCAACTGAACTCCACAGCCACATCACTGAATGTCATTGATTCTCCATGAATCCCTTCCAGGTCTGTTGACACTGAATCTGCTGTTGAGCCCCCAGACACCTCCTGATGGCTTACCTTGGAGGAGGCACCTCACCTCACTTCTCTCTACTTCCTTCTAATTTTCCCCCTAAGCCTTCAGAATCTTCGTTCCTTCTTGGGATATTCCCAGCAGCACCTTGGATCCCCTCTCTTTATCTTTTCTGGACAAGCTCTAATTCCCATTTAGAAATCTCAGACTCCCATGGATGGTGTCCATCGCCCGGTGTCAAGAACATAAGATGCAAACTGGGTGTTCTGGCTCCTTGTTTTAAATTAAACTAACTCAATAAAATGAAATTTTATGCCAGGTGTTGTGTATTTTCCTAATCTTGTAGGACATGGTGCAATACTTTTTTTTTTTTATTGTATTATTTTACGTGTACCGTCAAATCAGATCTGACTGGTACAGGAGGAGATTGCCCCCTCCTTCTCCAGTAGAGCAACAACAACAGTATTCAATGAAATGTTATTAAATTTATTAACATATATTTATCACTTTTTGTAATCCTGTAACAGGAAGAAACTGCTCACTTTTTGTTGGACTCAAACCACTGACCTTTTGGTTGAGTATAGTACACCACACCTTCAGAGCACATTACCAGAGGTACAGCAGAGGATAAATTAGACCACTTTTGACCCCTGTGTAGCTTATAGTCCAGAAAAAAAAGCCGGAAGATATTGACTAAATAATCACAAGCCACTGGGGGTTACAAAGCAAAGATGAATAGTTCTATGGAAGTTTGTAACTCCTTTGATATCTATCTTCCATTATTATAGAATGACTATTCTCCCATGCAATTTACAGACTTTGAAAACCTGCTAGTGGTTCAGCTGAGTTGGTTTTGACATGATGGCAATAAGTGACTGAGTGATACAATATCTTCATTAATTTTTAATTTCCCATTTTCTGCTTTCTGCTTTATTATGTATTTACAGTAAATCTATGATATATGCTTGATGAAAAGTACATATAATCATAGAATTTACACTTTATAATTTCTTTATTATTTCTATAATGGTGAGTGAAAACACATGTACTCTTATGGTTATAAAGATATAAAATTCTTCATTTAATTATGTATGTGTTAATTGGGTGAAATATTAATGGTAATATTGTAGGTGACTACTGTCTAAAAATGGTCTGTACAGCATTCCATTAGAGCTCTGATCCATAGCCTATTGGCTTAATTTTGGTGTCAGTTGAAGTTATTTGCTAAATATTCTTGGCTATGTGGTTTCAACTAACAAATATCCATGTAAGTTTTCTGGCAGATTTTGTGGCAAGTTCAAAAAAATAAAATAGGCCTGCTTTTACAGAAAGTACAATCTAGGGAAATGGGACAAATGGCATATGAAAAGCTAAAAATAATTTAGCACAAGAAATCATAGGTATCACATGTTGTCTAAATAAAGTAGTGAGCTAGGTACTATGAATATTTTTAAAAAGAGTAGGAAGTATACTTTACCCTCAATTTGTTTACAACTTAGTTGAGATAGAAAAATTACCTAAGATAAAAATGCATTAGATAATATATTCAGATACAATCTTAAGAGGACTTTAAAGGAGGCAAAGATTTCAAGGGGTATGTTTTCTTATTCAACCACATGCACAATTCACTTTAGTTTGAGAATAAACTATCAAAATCTCTATTAATAATCTTTTTTTAAAATTTAGAGATATTAGAAAGACAAACTTGCCCTTAATATTAAGTTAATGCCCGTGTTTATTTATGACATAGAAGCATGGACACTCCCCATGATAGCTATGACTTGGTTCCAACACAGTGGCAGTGAGTTTGAGTTCAGAGTTTGATGAGCTCTGGTAGTGTTTCTTGTTCATAACAAGTTCCACTGCTAATCCAAAGGTTTTGGAGGTTTAAATCCACCTTCAGCTCCCCCGAAGAAAGATGAGCAGTCTCCTGGGCACAGCCTCGGAAACCCAGTGGAAGGTCATTATGAGTCAGAATCAACCCGATGGCAGCTTTGTTCACTCTGTCTCTTGTTTTATGTCTTCTCAATTGTTTCAAACAGCAAATTTATCAAGAATTATGATTTCATGGGTCTCTAAAGGAAGAATACACTAAAGAAAATAAATTAAAGTAGTAGTAGGAAATGTCTCCTTTAATATCTTTCTTTCTTTTTTTTATCAAAGACAGTATTATGGGAGGTGTATATTATGATAGAGCTTTCACTTTGCCTAGAATTTAAAAGCAGAAAAAATTCTAGATGTTTTCATGTGTGAAGTGTCTTAATTGTATCATTAAAAGGCAAGCTTTTCATCAGAGAAGTTGACGTCGGGAATGTATTAACATTGATGTTTTTAATTACATAAAACATAACCCTTTAAAAATTTGTCAAATATTTACATTACTTTATAATGAAATAGGGAATTACTATGATATTTTTTGCCAAACAGACATCCATTGTTTATTTTATTAGAAAATATTTTAAAGAATTACCACCCAATGAAGAGGCCAAATGCACATTTTGAAGATCTGCTCTAGGAAAATGAATCTGACCCGGGGGATCAACCTGAGAAAAAGTGTTGAACTCATGCCAGGAGCATCAGGGGCTGAAGTGAAGGGCGTGTGCACAGAAGCTGGCATGTATGCCCTGTGAGAACGATGAGTCCACATCACCCAAGAGGACTTCGGGATGGCAGTAGCCAAGGTCATGCAGAAGGATAGTGAAAAAAAAAACATGTCCATCAAGAAGCTCTGGAAGTGAGGTGCACATTCTCTGTGACTCTCCCAAATAAAACTCTGTGGTACAAGCAAAAAAAAAAAAAAAAGAAAAAAGAAAACAAAAAACAAAAAATATTTAAACGAATTAAAGATACATTAAACATTTTCATTGCATCATGACTTTGCTGATCTTTCCTCTGATGACTAGAGACTAGAGACTAAGTAGAATGCTACTTAGAAGACATTGAAAATCAAGCACACTTTAGGTATCAAAGGCATAAGGGAGCCCTGGTGGCCTAGTGATAAGGCACTGTGTTTCAACACAAAAGCATGTGATTTGAATCCACCAGAGGCTCCAGGAGTGAAAGATGGGCAATCTCCTCCCATTAAATTTACTGCCTCTGAAAACCTGCTTAAAGGTCAGCTATGAGTGCTACCTCAACAGTACGTAAGAACAAGTTATAAGGAGAGGGAGACCCTTAAAAAGATGAGTTGACACAGTGACTGCAACAATGGACTCAAATATATCAGAGATAATGAGGATGGCACATGATAGAACAGATCCACTCTTCACAGGGCTGCTGTAATGCTTGCAGTCAACTCAGCAGTGTCTAACCACAACAGGGTAAAATGAACATTTTATCATTGAATGTGAAAGCAAATAATTTTGAGAAAAAATTAGTGCTATTGACAATGTTTAGAAAATATTTGGAAATAGTGTCATGAATATGTGAGTGGCTGAAAAAATGATACGAATGTATCATCGACAAGAAACCATCCTTATAAGTAAACATTACAACTTTAGAAATAGAATTCTCAACGCTTTAAAGATCTTTCTGTTGAAATTTCTTGTGTGGTTGTCAACAAAACTTTGGCTTACTATCAATAAATGAGTGGAAAAATAGAGAAACTATAGTACATCACACAATGAATACATTGCAACATTGAACAATGAAGAATTTGTAAAAGCCTACATAAAATACATGAGTCTAGAAGATATCATGCTGATTGAAATGAATCAGTCACAAAAGGACAAATTCTGTACAAGACCCCTGTTACAAAAAACTAAGGAGCAACAAATGCTGGCGAAGTTGTGGAGAAACTGGAACCCTTATTCACTGTTGGTGGGAGTGTAAAATGGTGCAACCCTTGTGGAAAGCGGTATGGTGTGCTTTCTCCAAAAGTTGCAAATAGAGATACCATTTGACCCAGCAATTCCACTACTGGGAATATAGCCCAAAGAGACTATAACTGACATCCAAGCAGATATATGCACACTCATGTTTATTGCAGCTTTGTTTACAATAGCAAGGAGTTGGGAACAACCTAAGTGCCCATCAACAAATGAATG